TTTTTTTTTTTTTTTAATATTTATTATAATCTTTTTTATACCTATGAAAATTTAGGACATTTAAATATTTATAAAATATTTAATACCTATATTTCTAAAATATTTCATAAATACTGTATGCTGTCTTGGATGTATACATTAGTTTAATAATTAGTAGTATATTTATTGATAATTCATCTTAAAAACTTTAATGCTATTATTTATAGTACAAATAACATATTAAAATCAAGTTGTGTAATTATATGTATAATGTATTTATATACAAATATTATATAATATATATTATACAAAATATACAAATATATATATATATATATATATATATATATATATATATATATATATATAAGGCTACAAAATAAACATATTAACTGCCACTATGTGCTTAAAGCGATAGTAATTGGGACAGTTACGACTTAGTTATCATTTTTCATGTTTCACAAGTTCATATTTCGCGAGTGCAAAAGTGTTACACTTGGTTACACTTTTCACGAATTCATGCTAGGGGAAAAGATCCATGATCGACCCCAAGGGCTGCGTACAGATTCCTCATCCGGATGTATTCTATTACTAGAAGTGCTATAGTATATGTAACATATACTATAGTATTTCTAGTAATAGAGTGCACCCGGATAAGGAATCTAAACGCACCTCTGGGGTGCTATTCCGTTACCGTGGTTCCGATAGTTGTCGGATCAGTAGGTGTCATTGCGCAGTTTTTCCACGGTATAAAAAAGCTGCGCAACGACGCCTACCGATTCGACAACTGTCGGTATGCGGGAACAGAATAGTACCCCTGGATAACGATGAATCTTTTCCCCTAGCGTGAACTCGTGAAAAGTGAAAACATTCAGTAAACTCGTGAAAAGTGGAAATTTTTAATAAACTCGTGAAAAATGTAAAGTTTCATGAATATATATACTAAAAAACTCATATAAATTGAAATGTATTCATTGATAAAAAAAGAAAAAAAAATGATTTGTATCTTAAGCCATTCTAAACTGGACTTTTGTGGGCGAAATTTATTTTGTTTGTTAAATCTTCTAATAATGTTGTCTGGAATTATAATATATAACATAATTATATATAATGCTTGTTAGATCTTCTATTAATGTTGTCTATAATTATAATATAATATAATTAATTTATGAATAGATATTATGAACTGATATAGTCAGTGTAAACTATAGTATTAAAAGTAACTTAAATAAGATCCACGCAGAACAATACTTCCACTGGATGTCCATTAGATGTCCATCATGAAGATTCAAAACCTCTAATAGATGTCCATGGAAAATCCATAAAGCCTCCACTCGACATCTAAATGTCCGCATCTTGGACCTCCATTGGACTTCCAGTAGAAATCGCTCTAAATGAAGCTTTTATGGAGATTATGGACATACAGTGGATTTCCTATAGATTTTTACTGGAATTATTATGGACGTTTCCTGGATCATTATAGATAATTCTAGGAGTTTTTATGGACGATTTCTAGAGATTGGATGAATTTTAGGAGCTCGTAATTTTAATGTATTGTAATAAATGAAAACAGTACGGATATGTATAAAAAATTGTTTTTATTTATTTGTAATGAGAAATAATGCCATTCATACATACATGCCATACATTAATATACATTAATATATATTTCAAAATAATAATATAATGCAAGATACGAAAATCTGTCGTATAATAAAAAAAAAAACTTATTCAGCAACATACATTCTGAAACATAAATAGAGAGATCATAAATCAAGCAGATACAAAAAATATAGATGGTAAGAAATATATGGCTATTAAATAAAGAATGCTGAAAATAATACAATATTCTCACGCATGCCTGAGGGTGCCATTACATGAAGTGCGGAAACGCGGAAACGCGGAAAACAAAATCTTACTAGATTTCCGCGTTCCGCCCCTTATAGAAATATCATACTAAGAATCATTGATAATTACTTATTATCCAGTATTTTTAATACTGAAAATAAGTAATTATCAATGATTCTTAGTATGATATTTCTATAAGGGGCGAATTGAATCATTTCTTCCCGTACGTTGAAAAAGCGGAAAAGCGGAAGGTCGAAAACTTTTCTATATTGTCTTTTCATCCAAGGTGCCAAGGTATGAATTCCAAACAAATATCAGGTCCGAACGTGTTTAAATACGTCTTAATGTAACGGCGATTAAGTTGAACAACTTGTGATAACTTGTGACAATTTGTGACAATGAATTTTTCCGCGCTTGTTCCGCGACTTTATTTCTTCTTATATTACATGGAGCACAGTTTGCGCGGAAAAGCGGAACGGTTTGATGACAAATAAACATCTGTATTCATTTTTAAAATTAATTTAATTTACTGCAACTTTTACTAATATGTTTATCTTTTCAGCTTATCTGTTGAATACAAGCATTTTAATTAATAAATACTGTTAAAAATTAATATTTTATAATTCCCGCTTATTTTATACTTTTCCGCTCAAAATACCTTATGTAATATAAAGCAATAGACGCGGAACGCGTAGCGGATCTAGTAAGATTTTGTCTTCCGCGTTTCCGCGCTTCATGTAATGGCACCCTGAGTGTATACCCCTCTCGCCCAAAGTAAGCGTTTATGGCTCACACAGGACGCGGTAATGTTTGCCGAGCGGCGGAAGTCCGCGTGACAGCCAACCAATATGTTGTTTTTCTGTAAGAGCTAGAAGGTTATTACGGAAAGCAGCATATTGATTGGCTGTTGCGCGAATTTCCGCCGCGTGGCAAACATTACCGCGTCCTGTGTGCAGGAGCCATTAGAAGTCCGTGCTATAAATTTAGGTTAACGCACATAAAAAATCTTAACGTAAACGTACTTAAACGTTAGGAAACGTTAGGAAATAATGTATTGTCATCATTTATAAAAAAAGAATATATTAAATATTTTATTATAACAAAATATAGCAAATATTAAATTTGACAAAATAATATTATATCGGTTGTTATTACTTTTTTTCTGCAACAAGCCGATGTTTCGTTTTATTATTGTCAAATAATCTCTCTTTCTCAAATATATACTGGTCAAATATATAAAATCTGAGTTAAGAAAAAAATGGATTAAAATAAATTAATTGTTAATAATATAGTACGTGCATCTATTAGATATTACACCTAACAGAGGTTTAGTACGTGAATCTTGTGGATATTGAGCCAATGGAGGTTGCACGATCGGATTTACATCACTTTTGTATGTGTCGCAGCGGAAATAAGAACCTTACGATTTGTTACTAGTATTTTATGCTTCAAGCTTTGTCTGTGCATGTCGTAAAATATTATAAAAGTGACGAAACGTTGTTCCCTTATTTTTGTTGTGACACACATACACACACGCGCGTGCGTGCGCGCGCGAAAAAGTTGGACATTTTTGAGATACGAAAAATCCGGCTAAATACCTTGGCTGCACTCTTTATCAATTGATAACTGATGCATATTTGACAACTTGAAATTCACACAACACAACGTTTAAAATCGGGACATAAAGCGTCTTAAATACGTTTTATTTACCGATATCTGAGAGATATTTTAAGACGTTTTTTAGACGTCTTGTGTCCCGATTTTAGATGTTGTATTGTGTGGGAAAGTTCTTAAAATGTACTTAACGGAATTGAATTTCATTATTTTAAATATCTTAAATATCTTTTTGAAAACATCTCGACGTCAACTACAAACATATGCAATAAAAAATATAAATTAAAATAATACATTAAGATAAAATGATAAAGTTGAGCTTGATCTGTATGTAATTTTGGGAACGCCACTTACAACCAAACCGATACTGCACTGAGAGAAAAATATAGTTGCTTTTGACGTCAACTATACTTTTTTGTGATTTTAACCAGAAAAATAATTAGAAGAATTATCTTTCTAATAACATTTACTGAAACAATGGTTCTTCCAATTATTTTTGTGGTTAAAATCACAAAAACGTATAGTTGACGCCAAAGACAATTATATTTTTCTCTCAGTGTGTCATTAAATACATCTTTTTAAATCTTATGATTTTTGTCTGAGACTTTTTTTGCAAGATGCATTTTTTATCAGATATTTAGCCGTACCCGGACTTTTTAACTACTCTGTATAGAGATATATTGTAAATATACCAGAATAGATAAAAAATTATGTAGAATATAAAAATTACAAAAATTTATATTAAAATAATTAGTTCATAAATATTTTAGTTTACATGAAAATGAGATATACAGAGATAGTCTTAACAAGTTCTTTATTAAAATAATTAGTTTACCAGTTTCCACAACATAAGAACGATAATAACGTTAAAATTATGTCCTAAAAAAAATAAATATATAAAATAAATTTTTACAACAAAATAAAATTGACTAAGAGGATTTATAAATAAATAGATAGTTATATATCTTTTGTGAGATTTTTTCGCCGTTGCACAATTTTGCACTTTTTATTCTTTCTTAAACTTAAAGTATATTTTGAATATTTTTTTATTGCTAAAAATAATATATTTTTTTATTACGTCTTTAAAAATGACTTAAAGCCACTTTTCAGGTTTAGTAGCTTAACCATTTTTAGAGGCACTTTAACTAACACAAATGTATGTATTTATGTAAAGAACGTCAATATATATTTTCACATATCTACGTTTTGTTGTGTTTTAAATAGTTTTTACAATTGCAAAACTGATCTGACGAAACCTTGATGTTTCAAGGTTTGTCAAAAGATAATTATGAATGCGAACGCAGATGCTAGTGTGATACGAACTTTAGAAGAGAAAATAGTGGCCACGGTAAGCAGTAGTTCGCAATTGAAAGCATGAATTAATAAAGTGTGACAATCTTCGGTCATTAGTGTTCTTCTTTTAACAATCATTTTGGAAATTATTTTGGACGATTGCAATTGTAATTCAATTTATTAAAATTTAACAACGGTATTTGCAAGTTTAATGTAGAAGACCTAATTTTTAACTCGGGTATATACAAGATGTTTCACACTCTCTTCCGGGCATTTTGTGGGAACGTAGAATGGGTTGATGTGAACATAAAAGTTTTGCAAAATTCGTAATAATTATCGAGATATTAATTGTAGAAAACTTGTAAATGATCATGCAGAATATAGTAAATGAGTTATAGTAGCGACGACTGCCGTCGTGTACTTATACTTTAGGTCAAATTGAACAAAAAAGTCCTCTACCATTTTCCAAATAATTACACAGATTTTTAATTATTAATTAAAGAAGATTATTGCACGATTTTGCGTGATAATGCACTCATCTTCTTTAATTAATAATTAAAAATCTATGTGATTATTTGCAAAATGAGGACTTTTTGTTCAATTTGACCTAAAGTATAAGTACATGACGGCAGTCGCTATTATAACTCATTTACTATATCCTGCATGATCATTCACAAATTTTCTACAATTAATATCTCGATAATTATTGCGAATATCGCAAAAAAGTATAGGACTTTTATGTTCACATCAACCCATTCTACGTTCCCACAAAATACCCGGAGGAGAGTGTGAGACACTCTATATACAGAGTAACAATACAGTAACAAGCGAGAAGTATACGTTACTCCGCCTCGAAATCAGTTGTTTACTCATCGTTGCTAAGAGGTAAGCCATTTCTTTACAATATCATGTGTGTAATATACGTGTATTATTTAAAGTATTACGTATTATATTTAAAATATTAGCATATATATACAATGTGAAGATAGCACTTCGGAAGAAAAGGATAATCGCAAGGCTGAAGAAAAAAGTTAGAAAGGAGCGCCTGTGTCGAGTGTCTGATTAGGACCTAAAGATTATGACATTGTGAACTTTTCTTCTGACAACTGTTCTTCCGCGGCCAAAACAATCCCCGAACGCTCTTCTAGAGCGCGGGGACACTGTCCCCCCTCTCTTGAAATTATCGTCCCAACAATTCAAGGGGGAGTCTTCGGAATCTAACAATTTTTCTCTTCCGAAGTGCTGACTTCAAAACGACCATAAATTGGTGCATTATTCAATATGTGATAAAAACGAAAAAAGAAATTTTAAATGTAATATCTCAAGCTATCGGTTAGCGGGACATTTGCTTATGACATAACCTGCAGCAATAGATAGGAGAGGAGCAAGATGTCGTTTTGGTATCCTGAAGTCAGCGGAAGAGAAGAATTATTGGATTCCGAAGAGACTCTACCTTGAATTGTCGGGACGACAATTTTAAGAGAAGGAGGCAGTGTTGCGTTTGCGCTCTGAAAGAAGAGCGTTCGGGAATTATTTTGGCGGCGAAAGGACAGTTGTTAAAAGAAAGATTCACGATGTTGCTCAGCTGCTAGTTGCCTGAGCAACGCCGGTGAACAGCTGTTTTATAATCCCCTCAATAAAAAATGTGTATTATCGTAAATTTATTTTGTATCGAAGCGTTGCGGCCTCTTTTCCGTGATGCTGATTGGCTGTCTCGATCGTCTCGATTGACTCAATCCATTGCGATTAGATTCGTGCTTGCAACTGTCAAACTATGAAATGTTTTGCAAACATCTGTGAAACGTATTTGTTCAGTTTTATGCTGTTTGCATGTAATATTAATCAATAATTCAAATAAAATGGCACACATATTTTAGTAAAAAAAGAGTTTTAGTAAAAAAAAAGAGAGATTTGACGACGAGTCGCGATCGCGAGCGGACGTATGTCAATCTTGTATTCAGCTTATAAAATTATTCGGAATTACTGTAATTAGTACAGCTTCTTGTTCTTTTAAAAAAACGAGTTCATTTATTTTCGCGTGCGCGAGCGCGAGTGCAAGCACGAGTGTAACAGTAACATGTTTATAATATTATAAAATCGAACAGTGTGTTATTATCACAAACTATCTATAATTTAAATACGCGATAATAAGTCTCTTCGAAAGGATTCATTCATTCTTCAATTTATATCGATTTTTTTTCTTTGGTTATATCGTTATTATTTTTTTTTCTTTGGATTATCGTTATTGTTCGTAATGTATGTATTATCGTAATGTATCGTAATGTATGTATGCAGCAAACACATATGTTTGCATGTATAATTCACATATATAAAACATAAAATATATAGCGGATAAAACATACTGTTTTCGATATGACTTGTAGTTAGAGAAAATTTATTTCCTGAAAATTTTTAAAAAATAAATTCTTTTATTGAATGGTTACGTTTCAAAAAAAAGTGCATTAATATTTATATCAACGACCACACACATATACGTTTGCTGTACAAATACCGTGATAATTGTTTACTAGGATTTCCTATTATTTGTCATTTTAGATAATGCGTAAGATTGAAAATAGTATAAATAATATCAGTTGCAATGTTTAAAGATTTATATACAAGGAAAATATTGTAGTAAAAATTACGTTAAAATTATATTTCTTTTTACAATGTATTTTGTAAATCTGGATTATGCTGTGTGAATTACTTATAAATTATTATAACTAATACATATTTTTTTTTGTATATAAATCGAAGAATGAGAGAATGAATCTTCTCAAAGAGACTTGCTATCGCATGTTTAAATTATAAATAAATAAATATATATATAAGGGGAATTTATTATATATAATTTATAATAATTAATATATTATACATATAAATATAGTTATATAATAATTATAATAAATTATTAGAAATTATATTATAAAAAAGTAAATAACAATCAATAATCTCTACTTGGTATAAAAAGATAAAAGATGGTATAGGAAGATAAAAAGTTACATAAAAAGTCAAACGTGCATAATATTTTTAAACAATATATAATATATAATAATTTCGGTCATAACTTTATATAGTCCAAGATTGCAAAAGCTTTGTTGTAATTTTTGCCACAATATTTTCTTTTGTATAGCTTGACGTATGCTTTCAAATCCATCGAATTAATATAATTCCATCGAATTAAATGTACTTGTTATTTAATTTATCATTTTATCATTATTTTATCATCACTACATTTTATCATTATTTTTTGTTTTATCGAAAATGAACTACGTAACTTTTCAGTTCATTGAACATGTCAACGTTTTAAATATCCTGGAATCGCGTCCGCCGTCGACAGCAACCAGTAATGAAGTAAATAAATATTAATTTCTCACTCAGAGTCTGCTGACTGCTCGTCGATTTTTCTAACTTTGAATATACAAAAATTCTGCTCTTTCGCAATTATTCACGAAAGTCAATTAATCGCAATGACATTACCCCACGCATGTCCTTGATTCCGCGGATAACTACGGTTTCTTAAATTGTCGTCGTGGTCTCTGAACAAGAGAAGCTGTGGTGGTGGCGTGTGACCGACGATACTGCTCGTCACCGTGACGTCGCCACGATGAAAGAACAACAATTACATCTCTCCCCCTCTCTCTCTCTCTCTTTGATCATCCGATGGAAAAAACAAATCTGTTTTCAACGATTGAGCAAGACAAGTTCTCGGACAAATTCACGTCGGAATGTGAATGTGGAAACATCGCGCTTAATTGGAGCTCCGTATCGCACGGAGTATATCATTTAACATGACTGCATTTAGATACACGCGATTAGAGGAAGTCCCCACTATTTTGTTATGTAGACCCAATGACTGAACAGTAGCCAGTAACTGAAAATTGGTTGTCACGGACTATCTTGAGTCGTGTACGATAGTTGCACGATAGTTGATGGTATCACCGACTGACTTTTGTTACATATCCTTCCATTCTCTTTCGTGGACGTTCTAACGACCAAGACTTATCACGTGTCGTCAACGATTTCGCTTTGGTTACGTTTTTTTTTTTTCAAATACATCAGTGTGTAAGTTCTGATGATCCAGTGGGCCCAATTCTATTGTTCAAAAGATGTGACGGACGAAAATATTATAAGACCCACCGCGTTAAATATCCAGACACCCATCGAACACATTTCGAATTGCGCGGGAAATCAACGCATGGACATATTTATGTGAAAAAGAAAATTATCTCCCGAATGCAGTCGATCTAAAGCATTTTCAGGCTTAAAACTCGATTTGCAAGGACGTGCATATATCAGCAGACTTATTATTCAAACGCAAACCCATGTTTGTCACTCTCTAACGAGGCAGCAAATCGAATTGAAAAGAACAGTGAGAAACGGTGAAATATCGGGACAAAGTGTAAAGGATTTGGATAGAAACAAAAAGATGCGGTTGTTACCAATGGTATTTTGGCTGCTCTGCCTGTCGATCTGCGACGGCTATCGTTTCCTCGGTGTATTCCCTTTTCATGGCAAGAGCCACTTCGTCATGTTCGAGGCTCTGATGAAGGGTCTCGCCAGGAAGGGGCATCAGGTGGACGTAATCAGCACGTTCCCCCTGAAGAAGCCCTATCCGAACTATAACGACATCGTGACAATCCAGGCGCCCGTACAGCTGATGAACAATCTGACATACAATGTGATGCACCAACTGATCTCCTCGAATGTAGCAAAAGCGGTCGCGACGATCGGCGGCAACGATATCTGTCAGCATCTGGGCAAGCCGGAGATAATCGAGCTGGTGAAAAATCCGCCGAAGGATCCTTCATACGACGCGGTGCTTTTGGAAGTATGTTCAACATTACACAATTACGTACATTGTGTCCTCTTCGCACTTTACACTTTGGTAAAGTAATGACTCGTAATAACACTATCAATTCATCCTAGACAGAGCTATATTGTTCGTTCCAACCTCGCGTGAAATAGTAACATTCAGTGAATTGCGTAAAATTTTTTTGCACAAGAAAAAGTAATTAAATTTTATTTTCAGAAATTCCTGACGTAACGGGGACAAATTTTCGCGTTGAATTTCTTGATATGTTCGTACGTGATGTAACTGATATAATTTATTAAATTGTTAAATATTGTCGTAGATTAACACATGAAAACAATATATAATCGCTTATCAACTTCGGATTGGATGTTTGTTTAGGTGTTCATATATATAGTTATTAATAAAGCGAATTTTTGTCGAATTTTTCAAACTTTGATTATCCGACGTAAATCATCAATAAAATCCTCACGTCGGCAATTCGAAGCTGTATATAAACGCACATCTGCAAGATGTAGCCACTTTTAGCCAGTCACATTTCTGACGTAAAAGATTCATAATCTTCATTACGTAACTGCGATAGCATGATATGTATAAATTGTTTCCAATAATCTTCAATTACGAACTTGTCACTGCAACTGACATATGTATTTTTTCGTTTTGCGAGCAAAACGATTATTTAACGATTAAACGATTATTATAACATTCCAGTTTGTCCCATACAAAATTGATTGTTTGCCTTTAGTCAAGTTTCACGCAATGGAATTAATCAAGTTCTAGTCAAGTGAAAAATCAAATTATTTGAGAAAAAGACCGGGAAATTCTTTCGACGTGAAGAATATATCGTGATCATCGATAATTAAATCGATTGACTCAGTGACATCAGATCGAGACGTGTTATGCAGCTTCAACCTTCGAGCCTTATTTGCACTGAATAATCGATGAAAACTACAATGCTCACTCTCTAAGCTTCTTCGAATAAGATTCCATTTGAAAAGTAGAGTGACAGCCGAATTACTCGTAGTAGTTATACGACGAGTAACTTTTTACTCATTAACACGGAGAGAATTTGATAGTAATTAATTTGATAGCAAAAATTATTACAGAATTTTGTAATTGACGAATGTCTCGACGTTCTACCTCAATCATCTTAATTATCCTTCCGTTCCTACGTATTATCTTTCCGTTTATACGTGTTATTTATATCTTAAGAAATAAAATTTACTATCGAGTGAGTTTTCATTTATTTTGTAAATAAGGCTCATTTACTTCTTTAGAGATTGTTTCAATTAAAAGTCCATTTGAAAAGCAGAACGTAATTACAGCTGAATTACTCAAAGCAATTATACACCAAGTAACTTTTTACTCATGTTCACGATGAGAATTTGATACTACAAAGATTACTACAGAATTTTAATTATAATTAAGGAATGCCTCGACGTTCTATCTAAATTATAAAAAATTACGATAATAGATATTTTATTGGCCTTCTTATGTTTCTTGATTATCTCAATTATCTTAATTATCCTTCCATTCCATGCATGTTATTTATATTTTAAGAAATAAAATCTATCGAGTGAGTTCTCATTTGTTTTGAGTGAGATTTCACTTAACTTAGAAATTTACACAGTACACAAAGATAATCGCACTCAATTAGGTATTCGGCGCCCCCTGCTTCATAATCATCGGCCACTTGTGGAACGTGCCCGTCATCGGGGTCAGCACAACTTCGTTGTACCCGTGGTTGCACCGAACCATCGGGCAGCCCGAGAATCTCGCCTACGTGCCGAACAATTGCCTCAGCTTCTTCGGCAGCATGAACTTCTGGCAGCGTATCTACAACATACTGCACACGGCTTACTTTAAATGGATCTTCTATTCGTTTTCGAGCGTGCAGGACGACATAATAAGGGAGCACTTCGGCCCGGGCTTGCCGAGCGTGTGGGAATTGGAGACGCAAATAGGGCTAATCCTCATCAACTCTCATATCTCTCTAAACGGTATCAAGCCGATAACACCTGCCGCGGTGGACGTGGGCGGACTGCACGTCTACGACGAGGGCCTGACGCTGCGACCTGTAATTCCATGTCGTTTCTTCGCGCTTCGCGCGTTCTCACTTTCCTACTCTTCTTCTTCTTTTCGTTGTTTCTCTTCCTTTGTTCGCGGCCTGATGCACGCTGAAGCATAGATTCGAGCAAGCTACTAAATAACGAACGCTCATAATCACTGTTTCACGAGATTCCCTTCTTTTTAGGACTTGGAGAAATGGATGAATGACAGCAAACATGGTTTCATCTACTTCACTTTCGGCTCTATGGTAATGATCGAGACATTCCCAGACGAGTTCCTGAGAGTACTTTATATATGTCTCGGCAAAATAGCACCGGTGCGGGTCTTAATGAAGGTACCGAATCCGGAGAAACTTCCGCCGAATTTGCCAAAGAACGTTCACACGTTTCGCTGGATACCGCAGCTCAAAGTATTGAGTGAGTTATTGTGTTATTTTCAAATTTTTTTCTCAACCAGTCTGTAGAAATTTATTTACAACAATATCGTTCTCGGAGAAATTTAGAACAGACCGAGGTCACAGCGGTCAGTTATCATAAAACTCATATATCACATGATGAAGAAACATATTTTTCTCTATAGTATAGATTACTTGGATCATATTAGTTGGGCCCCGAAATGATTTATGACAGAAATATTGTATATCTAACTAACATGATGTAAGCAATATAAGCAAGCAATTCTTCTCTATGCTATAGAGAAGAATATACTCTTCCATATATCACACGACATATAAACTTTAACGTTTAGTTGCCTAACTTTTCTACAATCCGTGACGTGACAAGAGCATGAAAGCATATGCAGTGATATATTATGTTATTTATGTTTCAACAATAAATCATAAAGTCTCCTATAGAGAGAGTTCAAATTTATTATTAAAAAGTTTATGAGAATTATTATTTTCTTAGTTCAGTGGTTGTTTATTATATCTGATATTACTTTATCTTTATATCTGATATCATTTTAATAAGCCACTTGAAACTTTAAAACATATATAATTCGTCTTGTTTCCTTTACATGAAAGATAACCAATTCAGAATATGGGGTGAACAGTCACATTTGCACGACTTTGTTCACAACTTAATAATTTTTTTGTGTACAAATATATACAAGAATCATATTTTTTTCTGTTATCTAAAGATTGTAGCTATATAAAAATATGAACAATATTAAAAAATACTACATGCATCTTTTTTTTTAACCAGTGTGCAAAAAGTGTGACAACTAGACTTAGTCTCCCTTACAAATATGCAGAGATAGTGTTGTGATCCGTCATACACAAAATAAATTCATATAGCTTACAAAATCACACAATTATGGATGTGATCCTACAGAGCACCCAAACATCAAAGCCTTTATTACTCATGGTGGGCTCATGGGGACGCAGGAAGCGGTAGCCTGCGGCGTTCCCATGATTGGTATACCGTTATTCGCTGATCAGTTTACGAATATCGACACATACGTCGCCCGAAACATCGCCGTGAAGGTGAATGTAGGAGGAATAACGGAGGAAAAATTGGACGCGGCCTTAAACGCGATTCTGTGGGATCCATTATACAGGTTTGCTAAATCTTTCTCTCTCTATCACTGCTTGAATATCGACTTCATCGAAAACGTCGTAATTTGCAATATTACAATGTTGCTCGTTACAGAAATCGAAATTCTATAGAAATTAAAATTTATAAACTGTTATAAATTAATAATTAAATCAATTAATAATTCCCTGCTACGACTGGTGATTTCGCGAACTGATGTCTACGCAAGCGAAATTATTATTCACGGTTCCCACTAGAGCTTTGTACGATGAAATAATATATGATTCAATCAATAGAAGCATCATTCACTAGACTTGTGACATTGTGCATTTAGTCGGTATAATGTACATGCACATTTTCTTATTCTACGTAGCTATTTGTGTTTTATCACGTTGACAAACATAACGGCATTAGTGCATTTTGACTTATATTTTTAGTTTCTTAAAATAAGTAATAATATCTAATAAAAGTTATTTATAACCGATTGAGCCATATCTACACTTTTATAAAAAGAAAGATCAGATTTCAGGTCAGTTCAGAGGTCAGATCAAAGAGAGTTTAGGATAACTTTTTATGTGTTTCTTAAAATCTGCTACATTAAAATCAGTGTGTTATTTTAATACGCTGATTAATTATTTTATTTTATTATTCCGCAGGAATAACAATAGATATCTACATGAATTATACACAAAAAGAATTTTATAGTAACCTTATTATAGTATGCATACAAAATTTTGTAACAAAGAGGTGTGACTCGCCGATCTTATTGAAACTTTGCATATTTATAGATGTAAAAAATAATAAACATATTGTACATATATATATTTTTATATCGGCAATGGTACATTTTTAAAGGTGAAATATTCCTCTTGTACATACATTGTATTTTATTATTAAGAGATCACGCATTTCAAAATTAATGAACCATAGAAGAAAACTAAGATCAGTGAAAGCAAGATGAGTACACTATCCGGCCAGTGAAGGCAAAGTAGTTTTAGGTTTATGATCTTTGAGTTTATGAAGTAAATATGTGGCATACATTAAAATAACATATATTAAAATAACATACATTATATACATACAAGAGGTGCATTCCACCCTTAAAAATGCAAATCAAAATATGTATGTTTACTATTTTTCATTTCTCTATAAGTATATAAAGTTTCATTAAGATCGACGAGTCATACCTCCGTAAGATTCCTTGTGAGTACAAGAACTGATTTATTATTAAAAAATTAATTATGTTCTTTATCAAGATAATAAATTTTTTAATAATAGATCAGGTCTTATAGTCAGTTACAAAATTCTATATATTAGGACCTTAACTTAGTTTCCGCCCAAAAAATACTGAGAAAAAGCATTTATTGTAAAAAATTTATTTAAATTATTTCAATGAAAGTATTTTCCATCACTTTCTACAACTTTTTGCCATCTTTCTGGCAACTGGGCGATACCATCTCGATAAAACGATGTTTGTTTCGAAGCAATCCATTCGTCCA